ACTTCTTACTTGGAATTTATAATAATTTTTCATTCAAAGAGTCTTAAGGCTATTAATTTCCCATCACAACTCCCCATGAAGCAAGTAAAACATTTCTATTGTGTTTTCCCAACTTCGCTGCTTGCAATAAAGTGGGGCCAGACTGACAATGAGACAAAGCTACCTTGACAAATTCCTGGCCCTCTCCGGTTTCCTGCTGTACCCTAGATAGCGTTGCGATGATTTTGATCTCTAATTTACTTCTGGGCACAATCCCATTATTTTAGGAGGAGAGACTCTAGCTTAATTTTCACCAAGTGCCTTGAGGGCAAATGGTATTGGAATTTTACAGATTAATACTCTATTGTGTATAATATATATGGTTTTATATGTATATGAGTAACATATTTGTTCACTATAAAAGCTCTTAACTTTTAGATATTTTCCATGTCTCTAAGAGTGAATATCTTCCCCCAAATAAGTCCTTATTTTTTTAATAAGGATATATTGGAAGCAATTTCATCAATAATGGAAGACCCAATTACTGGTCTTCTGGATTAAGGCATTCTTTTATTGCAAGATTTTAATGCTAGAGTGGGAAGTTCAAACATTGCCAGTGAAATCTCAGACTAATTAAATGATTATAGCCTGAGGGGAAAGGCAACAAGACTCCACTATTAATCTTACCAAAAATTGCCTCTCTATGTGATGAACCAATGATTGAGCATACCTTATTTCGAAAGGCAGAATAGAAGGAGTTTGTTTTTCAAAAATCAGTTTGATGTGTGAATAAAAAAGGAAAAGACAGTGGAAGCTTTCTGTGGGAAGTATGGTCATGTTTTAAAATGCAGTTGTGTATGGAACCAAATAAACTGCAGTCAGACTTCATTCATTCAGGGGTTTTGGGGTGACACAAAAGCAATAGTGACAATAACCTCCAGTGCTTGGGAGCCATCACTGTTCACCAGGAGTTTTTTGTGCTCATCTTATCCTCAGTTCATAATAAGGAAATGGAGGCACAGTGATTCAGTCACTCAGGAAACAACTGGCAGTGGGGGACGTTTGACTGTTCTGTAACCTTCCCTTCCACTGGCTCCTTGCAAATGACTGGTCCAGACGCTTTTATTCTGTGTCATGCTGCAGTGACCACTCTCCCTGCAGGGCAGGTACAGATACCCAAGCCCGAGCCTGTGCCCAAACAGTCCCTGGAGACTCTGGTTTCCTGGCGGGACGGACCAAGGCTTTCCGAGAGGTGGGTGTGCAGGCACCAATCTGCTTGGTAGCAGCACCCGGTAGCAGCCCGGATGACAGTTCCTCCCTGGGCTTCTCGCTACGTTTCCATGCCCACGGGAGAAAGTTCTTTAAATCTTTAGTCTTGCTGTATTTATTCTTTTCATGAGTCTATTTTTCTGAAAGGAGAGGAGTGCTGCATGTAACTGAGAATTATCAGATCTGAAAAATATGACCTGGAATTTCCCTTTGCTCAGTGTCTGGAAGGCTGCAGGGATCCAGTCAAGCTAGTCCATCAGTGGCGAGCAGATGGAGTCCTTGAAAGGATACATCATCTTTAAAACATGTTACATTTCAAGAGTATTCATGTGTGAGGCCTCAATTTTAAGGGAAAAATGGATATATGACATTGAAGATATTTTTATTATTCCATCTTGAGAATAATTTATATCAGGCAAGATCCTGTTTTGGGGGAGGTGAAGTTTAAAACATGTTCTTGTTATGTAGTCCATGCTGGCCTTGAGCTCACTTTGTAGCCCAGACTGGCCTTGAACTGGCAAGAATTGTCCTGCCTCAGCCCTCCATCTGCTGGGATTGCAGGCATGTGCCACCACACCCTGCCAAAATCCTATTTTCATCAACCTTAATAATTATATCATTTGCTTCACAAAGTTTGTGAATGCCAAGCCCCATATTTGTGAGGGAAGGGTAAATTAATCTGGATCTTAGAGAACATGGTTCCTAAATACAGATACACGGATTTCAAAAGAAAGCTTTGCTTTTAAAATTTGAGAAGAGATTTATTCCTTGGTATTTGCAACTCACCTGAACCTGGAAACCATGCAACAGTCATATACAGAGCACATTGCTGCTGTTAATCCTCAGAATGGGGCACACAAAGCCTGGACAAGGTCCACCCCATGATGATTAACACTTCGTATCCTCAGGCTGCTCTCAAACTGTTCTTAAAATTAGCCATGGCCAGCACCATGTCAGCCACAGATGAAAACGTGAAGGTGTCAGAGTTTGGAGTGGCTTCAATGGGATCAACTGACTGCAGTTTTGAGTTTGATAAATTGCTAACCTCATATGGTTCCTCCAAGCAGGCCTCTGCGCTTAGAGGGAGCCCAGGGAAGTTGATTTGTGTACACAGTGGCACCAGAAATAGAAAGGGAATCTTCTCATTGTGAAAGCCACAAAATGTGTCCATTGGCAGCCAACACGTAGATTGATGAGAACAGGAGTGGGGAGAAGGATTAAACGTAATAGCTCCTGGTTCCCTACACAATCTTAAAGGATGGGGACTTTATTCCTAGCATTCTGCTAGAATTAACACTGCCGCCCCCACTGACATAATAATCCCTCCTGTAGCTCGGACCTTTGATTTCCCGTCAGAACCCACTGCCCTGGAAGATCTGCGTCACAGCCCCTTGCTCCTGGGGATCTGTCCACTTCCAAGTCCTTGCAAAGAAAGGCTCACCTGATTTTAGGCTCTCCTCCCCACTCTCAGTCTCGTTTCCATAAGTATTTCCTATTTGCTACTTTCAGGAATATATATATGTTTTGATTTGGTTTGGTTTTGGTTTTGATTTTTCCAAACCTTCACAGTTGGGTTCTGTTTGACAGTTGGGATGTTTATTAAATGTGTAATTTAGGCGAGTCAGTGCAGTTTGATCATCTGTAAAACACTAATAGTAGGGCCAGTAGTCCAACGGAAATCTTAATTTACACCTTACAACATCACCCCCTTTTTGCTTTTAATTTCATTATGAATTACATTCAGTAGACTGGGTCATAAGGTTGGCCACCATCAGTTGGAGCTTCTAATTTGGAACTCGTGTTTATTTAAACTGAATTAATTGTCAGCTGTATTAATCTTACAAAATCCATGACTCCTAAATGTTCTGTTTACGCAGAATGAGTAGCAGTGTGTTTCTTTCTTTCCAAACAGACTTCTTGGTGAGCATCAGGTGAGCTTGATAACATGCCTTGTATTCGAGATGATTTATTCACTCTCAACTTCCCTGGAATTTATTGCTGAAGGTTGATGTGAATGCTTTCAGTTTGAGCTCTGCTGTAATCTCCTGAATGGCAATTAATAAATGAAAGACGGTTACTGTATTTGACAGAAACTCTGGGCCACCTCAGCTTTCTGCTTCCTGCTTTCACCTAACTTCATGCCAGACATCCCTAGGGGCTGCTGGTATAAAATACTTTCTGTAAGCTCCAAAGCTTTTAATATTGCTTCAGTACCCCCACAACTCTGCACGCCTTTTGCTGTCTTGTCAGGAATGATCTTACTCAGTCTCTGTTCTTCACCTTCCCTTGTGTGCATGTAAGGAACATGCCTCTCTCTGCACTGAGCAGTAATAGATCCTCAGTATTTATGCTTGCAAATAGCACCTGAAACTTGTTCCTGGAATTTCTTGAATTTTTATTCTAGCTTAGTCCCTTCTCTTGTCACATTTAATGAATGTCTACTGTTACCCATAAAATGTAGTCCTTACTGTCATCCTGTGTATTGTTTAAACTGCAAAGCTGCCTTCTGTAAGTTTGATGATGAATCCATGAAGTCATCCAGTTTTCCCAGTTTGCTTGTCTTCACTAGGCTTCGGAGCTGAAGTGGTCTAATTTCAGAGCTGACGAAAATGCAGATTAGTTTAAGTAACTTGACCATAATCAGATAGAGAGCAGAGACCAAATTCTGCTTTCTGCAGTAAATTGCATGGTACAAAGCAGGAACTCTGATCCGTTCACAGTTGGGACATTTATTAAATGTGTAATTTAGACAAGTCAGCGGATGATATAAGCAAAGCACTTAGACCAACACTTGGCGCAGAGTCCTCCAGGCTCTGTTAGCTCTTGGTGTTACCGTGAGCATTTTGAACCTGATACCTCTTACTACACTGAGTCACCGGCAGGAGTGCTCACGGTGGCCTAGGTGGCCTAGGTGGCAGAAGCAACACTAGTGGTAACAACCCCAGAAGCCACACTGTTACGGAGCTTGTAGTGCAGGAGGCCTTCACGTAGAACCCTAGGAACATGAGCTTGATCTGGAGCTATTGAAAAGTTGCCCTCGAGTTTTACTACCTGAAATGCAAGTGTATTCTTGATGGCAGTAATCTCCCTCATACCTGGACAACACAAACTTTGGCCCTGCATGAACAGCTTGGAATATAAAAATAGGAGACTGGTTGGATTCCTGCCATCTGTAAAATAATTCCTTTGCTGCTACCACTTAGGCAGGCTGATCTTGCTGTTAATAATTTGGAGCGCTGCCCAGGTGGGAATGGGGGATCAAGAAACAGAGTAGAGGGGAGCAGGTACAGGTGCAGGCGAAACCCTACAAACTCTCAGAAAAGGGTTTATTTCCCCCTTCTTATTTACATACAGACTAAATAAATTCCATTCACTGCTCCCTAATAGCCACTAGGGTAAAGTGTTTAGGCACAAAAATTACACTTGCTAATGTTTCTTGATTTCAGGTATAATGTGTATCATAACAGTCGTATAAACAACCATGGTAATAATGAAAGGTGTGTCCAGGGTGAGACTGAGAGAGAGGCCTGCTGCTAGGTGTTCTTTGTGTGTCCTTTGTGTTTGTGTAGGTGTGTGTGCACACATTATGTGTACACATGTATCTCTCATATATACAATATCTGTAGACAGTCACCGCCTTTTGGAAAATACTCCAAAAGAAGTGATCTTAGAATAACAAGGATGTCCACTGCACCACACTGCCCATTACGGACAGTAATGGGCATTCTGACCTCTTGTCCTTTCTTTTCTAGAATCTCCAAACAGAGATTTTGGCCCAACCCTGGGATTGAAAAAGTCCAGTTCCTTGGAGAGTCTGCAGACTGCGGTGGCCGAGGTCAGAAAGAACGAACTGCCATTCCACAGGCCCCGGCCGCATATGGTGCGAGGCCGCGGCTGCAACGAGAGCTTCCGGGCGGCCATCGACAAGTCCTACGATGGGCCTGAAGAGCTGGACGCTGGTGAGGCCCTGCGCTTCCTGGAGTGGCTCTTCCACCTCTTTATTATCTGCGAACCACAGGCGAGCCTGTGTGCTTAACTACATAGGAAAATGATTTAAGGATCACAATTATATTTTTGATATTAAAAGTAATTCATTTTCTTGATATGTTTTGCCCTTTGGCTTAATGAACATGGAACTAGAGAACACAATGTGCAATTTATTTTACAGTGCAAATGCTAAAGAAATGTTCTCCTTAGCTTTCCTACGAGGACCAACTGTCACTTACCCTTAGGGTACTAGCACTAAGTATGCATTTCTTGACATTTTTATATGAGTCATTAAAAGCAGCATCAACCAGAGGACTGGCTGCATTAACTGAGTAGAGCAGTTGGGTATTTGTAGTCAGGAAACCCTCCTGGAAGGAAAGTAGTGCTGTTTGTTTCCCAGCATGGGGGCTTTCTGAGCTGATTGGGGTTAACAAGCCAGCTTTCAGAGAGATCAGTGCTTAGTATTCTCCAGGCCTAAGCAGGCAATGTCTCACATGACCCCTAAGCAGGCAGTGGGCCCAAGCCCAGTGCCTGTCCTGGCCTGAGATAACCAGATCCGTGCAGTCCTGTCCTCAGAGCATACCGGTAGCTGTGTGCAAGGATGGACTTCCGGGGCCCTTCTGCTCTTCCGGATCACATATCCTGACTTCCATTTATGGGTAACCCTAAGTGCGCTGACCCTGTGCATTGATCTTTTTCTCTCTGCACAGATGGTCTGTCTGATAAGAGCTCACACTCTGGCCAAGGGGCTCTGAATTGTGAATCTGCTGCTCAGGGGAACTCTGAGCTACAGGACCTGGAGAACAAAGCCAGGAAGGTAAAAAAAACAAAGGAGAAGGAGAAGAAAAAAGAAAAGGGCAAGTTGAAAGTCAAAGAGAAAAAGCAGAAAGAGAACAATGAAGACCCAGAAAGAAAAATCAAGAGGAAGGGGCTTGGAGCCATGCTGAGGTACGGGGAGCTGGGCAGGCAAGGGGGTTTCTTTCTCCCTTTCCTTCTCATGGTGAAACCATCCCTTTGTGTGTATTCAGAAGTAACTGAATGTATTCCCTCCTTTTTGGCTAAAGACATAAAAAATATCCGAAGTGTAAAGGTGTGTGTCCCCTTTCTGTAAAGGCAGAAGAAGCCTTCTTGGGTGGCTAATGTGAGGAGAAATTGTCACAAGTTTGCAGTCCAAGGAAGGCCCTTCCCCAGGAGGGTGCACACTGGGCCGGAAGTGCTCCCTGTTTGGCCAGGTCCACTGGAAGCTGGGGAAGCCAGTGGGGCCTCAGTGTCCTGGGGCCCTCCCTGAATAGAGAAGTCAGGCTCAGTGCACCCAGTCCTGCTGGGACTCCAGGTGTGCGTATGGCAGTCACCTGCAGAGGCACCATGGCATGGTGAGGCGGAGGTGACTGGATTTGGGTCCAGATGACTGTGGTCTGGATCCAGGAGGCCCCTACATTGCTGAACTTTCCTAAGCCTCCGTTTTCTCGCTTCCAAGGCCCGCATTCCTGCCCTGCAAGCAGTGCGGTGGGAGGTAAGAGCCAGGTCCAGCTGCTGTCCCTAGCAAGAAGGCAGAGAGCGCTGTGTTTCTCCCCTAGATGTCTTCAAACCTGCTCATCTGAGGCTGTCTTCTCTCCCTCCTGACACCTCAAGTTTCTTCCTGATAGCTTTCCGGGCACCTTAGGTTTTAACACTGTCTCTGTCAGGGACTGTGAACCTAAACTGTACTCCCTGCTCCTGGGACCTCAAGCCCAAAGCATGCCCTGCAGTGTGGCTAAGTCTCTGGAGCCCGAAGAGGGAGAAGGACAAAGACAGTAGCAAATGGGGAGTTTTGTTTAAATGGCCAATCCAGTGTAACCAGTCCTGGGGCTCGTGCTGGACCGTTTCTGTGGATTACTGAGGGAAACCCTTACTATGACAGCATTCACAGAAGGAACTTGTTTCCCGCTGTTTTCCTCCGATCTCTTACCCTTGACCCTGACTTCAGACAGCTCACCTGGGGTCTCCTGACAGCAGCTGTAGGCTTCATGGGGATGAACGGTATGAAATGTCCTCAGAGCCTTGAATACTGACGCTTGCTCCACTGAGATGGCCAAGTCCTCACCCTCCTGTTCATTTCGCCTCACCCTACCTCAGGAATGGTCCAGCCTGCCTGGCATCTTTGGGCCTCACCAGAACAAGTTGCTCTGGCTTGGGACTTCCCCACCTTGGGCCACAGGCCTGGGCCTCCCAGTATGCACTCCTGCAGTGGGGAGGGAGAAGGGAAGGAGAGGGTGTAACCGATTACAGATTCCCAGGGAGCAGGAGGACAGAGGGTGACATCTCCTGTAATTTCTGTGCAGTCAGTTAGTTCCTGTTCTTCTCTTCCTGGACTGACATGCATTATGGGCTATGATAGGTGGGGACCCCACGTGGCCACCCCTTGTGGAGCCCTTAGAAGATGTCTCTCTTTAAGATAGTGGGTGGTCTGTGATACCCACTGTTCTGTGTTTGAGATCTCCAACTGAGATTTTCCAACAGAAAATCATTCTCTTGGGCAAATGTAAGGGTGTTACACACTGCAGAGTGATTCTGAGGATACAAATAGTGTGAGCAGGTGTGATCCGTCTCATTCGTGCTCAGGGCACACCGCGCCAGTTTCCTCCTGTGCACAATCTCAGCTACTGCATCTCTGCCTCTGTGTTGTAGGACACGCTTTTATCGTACTGTCACCTGGGCTGAGGAGAGAGGACCCCAGCAGCCTTGATGTCCTGGTACTCTATCCTCTGACTACCAAAAAACAAATTTTCAACAAATTGAGTTTTAAAGATCAAATCGACTTTTATTCCTGATTCATGAATTGGCAGCGTCCAGCCTCAGAATAGGATAGAAAGGTACTTGGGTGAGCTGAGCATAGGATGTGGGCTTTTCCGGGCAGGAAAGAGTGGAAGAAAACAGAAACAAGGAGCGAAAAGTGAAATTTAAAGTCACTGTCTTTGTAGGGCTAAAGTAGATAAGATTTGATCACCAAGGCGATGCAGGGTGACCTGGACCTTGTTTGACGGGCTGCTGAGAAGCACTTGGCTTGGGAAAACTGTTTACCTTGCTCATGGGGGACTCAGTAAGACCCAATTCACTCTGATTTGGTCTGGCTTGTTTTGTCCTAGTGCAAGAGCTCAGTCCAAAACAGTGGCCTCCCTTTCGCTTACTGTGACCTCAGCTTAGTAAATGCCAGTGGGGCAAATTCTTAGCAGATACTGGTTTAGTTCTCCTGGTGGTCTATATACACTCCCTCTTTCCTTTTGCTGCCTTGAATTTTAAACTTTTCTTTATTCCGAGTAGTTACTGAATGTTTGAAGTGGTAGGCTATGATTTAAGAACACTGATAATAATTATGACATGCAGTTGCAGTATATTTAGATGAGACATGAAAAATGGTGGAAGTACCAGCTCTGAAGATAGACCTCCAAATTCCTTCCTGGCTTCTCTACTTCCTATGTAGGTAACAATGGGCAGGTTAACCACTGTGCCTTAATTTCCTCATCTAAAAACTGGGGATGTTAATAGAATCTACCAGTAGTGTTAGAATTATATTTTAATTATATGTTACTATACCTAGCAAGTATCATTAAATAATAGGGCATTGCAGTGGTCCCCTAAAGATATCTATGTCCAATCCCTAATACCTGCATATATGTTACTGCATGGCAAAGGATGGGTAAGGCTCCAGATGGAATTAAGGCTGCTGGTCAGGTAACTGTAAGGTAAGTGATTATCCTAGATTTCTTCAGTGAGTGCTGTATACACACAAAGGGCCTTAAATGTGGAGGAAGGAGAAGTGACTCAGGAAATAAAGGGCAGAGAAACACAGTGCTACTGGCTTCGAAAATAGAAGGAAGAGCCCATGAGCCAAGGAATATGGGCAGCATCAAGAAACTAGGAAGGGAAAAAAAACAAAGTAATTTTCTCTGCCAAAACTCTTAGTTTTAGCCCATTCATCATCAAGACACTAAATTTATGGAAATTGATTATCGCACAAGTGGAAAATGAATATAGTTGTTATAATTTTATCGCTTCTTTTACTACATTTACACTTACATTTACAAGGAAAAGTTTCTTCCTGGAGATATTAAAGAAAGAAAACAATAAAAATAATTTAACTAGAATGTAGTCTCTAAATGTAGAAACTGTTAGAGATTTCACATAACCCGTATCCTAGAATATTACTAAGTTAAGCCTTTACTTTGTTTTATTTTACATGATTTGATTCAGCAGATTCCTGTTTGATTGTCCATAATTTAGTGCCAATTTTCCCTTTTGTTGTCTAATATCCTGTTATTTTTATATAGTAGAAATTACAGGTCCTAAATAGTTCAGACAGCTAGAACCTTCTACTGGCTTAGCACACTGAGAGCTGAAAAGAGTGTTTGATTTCACCTTTGGTATAGATATAGCAACTGCTCACCATCATCTCCCGCCTCTGAGTGGAGAGCTGCAGCTCTGCTTCGTGTGCGTTTTCAACAACAAAGAACACAAAAGCTGCTCCCTCTCCTCCACAGATTTTGCTTTAATTTTCATCTGTTGTTCAGATGCTATTGACTTAGTTTCTTTCTTATTTAAAAAAGATTGATTGTTCACAGGTTCTCTGGAGTTAGATGTGGTTTAAATATGTATCATCTCGTCTGCACTGCTGTGAGGCTCTCCTGAAGAGGGAGCTTGCATGCGGGTTCCGCAGTCACACTCTGCACCCTGGCACCTGGTGAAGGAGGGAGTGATGGCTCACCCTCCCGTTCCTCACCACACCGGGCGCCATCCAGTGTGGACGTGTGTGCAGCACTCTCATTTGTGCTTCTAGAAACTTGAGTGTTTGTGCATCTCTGGCGTTAGCAGGCCTGTGCATGTTGAAGACATAGAGTAGTGCACCTTAGCTGACCTGTAATTTAATCTACTTTCATTGGATTTTTTTTTACTAGGACTCAAACTCAGAGCCATGCTGCTGAGCTACCTTCCCAGCCATCCAATTTAAAAAGCTGTAATGCATCTCTTTCATTTGTGTGTCTCTGCAGGATGGAGTATCTAGTTTTAATATTGTTATGTTTTGCTGACTCAGGGTTATCTTTTGTGCCGTTTGTGTCACCTGGGGTAATTGTGGGAAAAAATCATGGCACTTAATAACCCATCCCATGGCAGTGACTTCCCAAGACCCTGTTCCTTGTTGCTGCTGTGAGCTCCATGAGCTGAGCCAGGTGCTCACATTTTTCCCAAAGGGGCCTGACTCTCCGGGACCTCCTGCTCCTCAGGATGCTGTCCTGCAGAAATGGCTCTCACGGCTCCTGCGGTGCTGTTCTCTTTGAAGCCAGGCTCCTGGCTGCCGGCCCCAGGCCGCCTTGCTTGGACAGGCAGGTGTTTTCCAGGCGCTGAAGAGAAGTACTCTTGGGCTAAGAAAATCTTGTCTGTCTAGAACAGAAAACCTGAAATCAGTGCCTAGGTAGGTATGTGCGTACTTCATCAGTCCTGGTCTCTAAACAAAGATAGGCCCCGCTGTCTCCTCTGAGAGCGTGGGCCCTCACCGCTCACCCTCAGCTGTCAGCCCACTCAGGGCACTGCGTGGAGAGACTCAACACAGTCCACCTTCCCATCTATTCCTCAGTGGGATTTGGGGCTAATAAGAATCACACCTCGTAAACTCCTCCTTAGTCGAGTAACAAAGGGCAAAACCTGCCAACAGGGATGTCGTCCTAATTTTAAAATTTGTCTGCCTGTGTGCATCTGATCAGTGTCATCTGCTGAATGCCTCCTCTCTGCCAAGCGCATCTGTGATTATTCTTTCATGTGTCCAACAGTGTTTAGTAAAGTTATGTTTCTCTTCGGTGCTAGGCCAGACACCGAATACACAGCACAAATTCCTTGCTTTCTTTCCATTTAACAAAGGAAAGAAAAATAAAAGTCAAATTTCAACTTCTTGTGGTTCATTTAATAAAATACAAGCA